CTTCGCTGTGAACTGCACCCCCCTGTCCGAAATTATCCGCTTAGGGGCGCCATGCAGCCGGTAGACATGTTTCAGGAACAAATACGCCACTTACAACAGTTGGTTTACTGACCTTTCAAAGTTACAACATCACCGACAATGTGACTTATGACCGTTTTTCACACTTACGACCCTCATAGTATCCCCGTGGATACTGTTTGAAAATTTGGATGCTTGGCCACTGACTCGCATTTATGACGGTTGCCGTGTCTCAGGATCACATGAGAGCAAATGGAGCAAAACTCACTGAACAACTCAACTGTGGTTGTAAGTCGAGGACTACCTGTATACACTTCATGATCAGATGGACTATAAACGTGGGGGTCATTTCTGGAAATATTTTTTAAAACACACACAGAAAGGAGACAACCATCCTACGATCTCAGGAGCACTGAGTGGGTTGTTCTCCCCCATCGCTCGGTTCCTTTGAATCTCCTTTGAATCTCAGTTCAGTTCAGGATTCATAAATCTGCTCTTGGGCTCCTTTGTTCTCAGGCGGGGCCTGTGGAGAAAGAAAAGAAATTGTTCCATCTCTATGAAATGCTGATGCAGCTAATGGAAGATGAGAAGCGTTCCCGGCATCAAGTGTGGGAATCTGAGATAGAGGTACTGGGGAGGGGGAGATATTTTTATTTATTGGCGGTGGTGGGTGGGGGGGTCTATGAGGTCCTGCCCTCTGGTTGAATGCACCCTGACCCATTTTCCTGGCTACCCTGTGCTTGCACACGTACACAGAGAAGTAATTGCTCGTTGCTTCATCGTGGACACTCCATCACTGGAGGTTTTTAAGAAGAGACCCACTAGACCAGGGGTAGGCAACCTCGGCTCTTTTATGACTGGTGGACTTCAACTCCCAGAATTCCTGAGCCAGCATGGGGGAACTATGGCCCCTTCATGACTCATGGACTTCAACTCCCAGAATTCCTCAGCCAGCATGGGGGAACTATGGCCCCTTCATGACTGGTGGACTTCAACTCCCAGAATTCCTCAGCCAGCATGGGGGAACTATGGCCCCTTCATGTNGACTTCAACGCCCAGAATTCCTGAGCCAGCATGGGGGAACTATGGCCCCTTCATGACTCATGGACTTCAACTCCCAGAATTCCTCAGCCAGCATGGGGGAACTATGGCCCCTTCATGACTGGTGGACTTCAACTCCCAGAATTCCTCAGCCAGCATGGGGGAACTATGGCCCCTTCATGACTGGTGGACTTCAACTCCCAGAATTCCTGAACCAGCATGGCTCAGCTTGGAAACCTCTCCCTTTCCCCTCAACTTGGCTGGCTCAGGAATTCTGGGAGTTGAAGTCCAGAAGTCATAAAAAGAGCCAAGGTTGCCTACCCCTGGACTAGACAGTCAGTTGTCTGAAATAGTATAGGTTCTCCTGCTTGAACAGGGGGCTGGACTAGAAGATCTCCAAGGTCCCTTCCAGTGCTATGCTATTCATTTAGAGCTTCTCTCTTAATTACCCCTTGATGTTAGTTCCTGTTTCCCCAAGAAGGCGTCTATAATCCTGAACTTCTTTTGATCGTTCATTCTTTCAAACCATATGCCTTCCCTATCCCACTCCCCCTTTCACCTCTAATGTGTAATATTTTAGCACAGGGGTCTACAAACTTGGCAATTTTAAGTCCACAAGCTTTAAAGATTGATGCTGGCTGGAGAATTCTGGGATTTGAAGTCCACAAGTCTTACAGTTGCCAAGTTGGCAACTTTCCAAGTTGAACCTCGGAGCTGTTCCCAAAACATAACTCGAACCCAAAACATCGGAAAGGAATGGGATTGGACACAGGTGGACTGTTCAGGGGGAGGGGGCTGAGGAAGAGGGGAAAGCCATCGGCTTTGCGTGGGAATATTCAAATCCAGCTTTGCTTTTGCTGTAACTGCTCGAACTTAGCAAAAGTTGACCTTTCACTTCAATCATGGAGTCGAGGGTCTTTCTTTCCTAAGTCCCTAGTCGGGCCAGCTTGACAAATTGGTTTTGCTGCACCTGCAGCGGTTGAATGCGATGATCCTTGGGGTGCCTTCTATGGTCAGCCTTCTATGATTCTCTCTCTGATATCTCCATGCCATCAAAGGTCCTGGACCTTCTGCGGATTCGAGGAGAGGAAGAGGCTGCTAGCAAGTTGAGCGTCTCCATTTATGACACGGAAAGGAACGAGAAGAGTAAAGAACATCGTGAAACCATAGTAAGCTGGAGGTTCTTTGGGATCGACCTACACAGCATTTATGGGCCGTTTCCTCCTCCTTGGAAATGATCAAAACTAGCAAGGAATCAGGGGTTGAATTATGGGAATTCTTAGCATCTTAATTGTCATCCCAAGGTTCTTGAGAAGGTCAGGAGAACTAGGGCACAAGGGCTGGATGTAGCAAGAAGTCGCCATGATATCCTTCCTTCCTGGTCTGGTCTATCCAGTGGGGCTGTCAGCTCCCCATCAAGCATATTGGTCTGTCCCCTTCCTCTGCAGGAGCGACAACAGCAAGAGGAACGCCAGCGCCAGGTGGAGCAGGAGCTGGACTACCTGGCGCCCTTCCTGATTCAGGTGGGAGGCATTGAGAAGATGTCCAAGTGGCTCGCTTTGCGCCTGAAAGAAGATTGCCTGAATGATTTCAAGCATCGTCTCGTTGACAAGGCCAACCTCATTCAAGCACGATTTGAGAAGGTATCTAGGCAGTCATTGGACCTCTGGCTCTCCATGGCCCAAACCAGGGGTCTTCAAAGTTGGCATAGCTGGCTGAGGAATTCTGGGAGCTGAAGTCCACAAGTCATAAAAGGGCCAAGTTTGCTCAGGTTCCATCAGTCTGTTTCCATTTCTTAGTCTCCTCAACTCTGATTCCAAACAGGGATGTCTGCAGGAGATGGTCAAAAAAAGTCAAAATGGTGGTAGTGACATTGAGACCAAAGTTCTGTCTTTTATTTTAAGTGGAACTTGAATTGCAACTCTACTTTTTTATTTTTTATTTGCCAAACACTGCAGATATTTTGATTCTCTCTCTCTCTCTCTCTCTCTCTCTCTCTCTCTCTCTCTCTCTCTCTCTCTCTNTCCTCTTCCTCCTCTTCACATGATTTTACATCAATAAATTGAATATCAAATTTAAATCCAAAGTATTCCTCTTCCCTTCCTTTAAAGTTTAAGAGACCTCGCTGTCTGAATTCTGAGAGACTTCCTCTTGCTACTAATTAATATTAATTCTAAGAGAACTGCTGTGGTGTCACTGAAGCAGGATAGGGCAAATTCATGAATGTCCAGACAATAATAATAGAAGTCTCCTAGGTATGCAAGCTAAAAAGAACATTGTAGTTTGGTAAGCTCAGCTTGGAGAAAGCAGAGGAAAGAGGAAGGGTTGCAGGAAACTGCCAGCATGACTAGGCAAGTGTGATTGCTAGTGTGGGAAGAAAAATCCAGTCCGGTTCCAAGCCGGGAGAAAGATGCTGGAAATAAAATGGAGGCAGGCTGCATTTTCAAAAGGAGGTCTCTGTTTATTGAATTGCCAGAAACTTCAGTGACGCAGCATGTTTCTGGGGTGGCTGAGTTGGGAGTAGGTGAGTTTTTATACATTCTTTGGGGCTTTGTGATTGAGATGCCTGTTCGTTGTGAAATGTACTTTGACCTGTGCTTGAGTGTGCCCTTTCAGTATTCTAATTATTGTTGCCTGACTCCCATTGTTGCTGGGAGGTCATGCCCTGTCCTTGGAACTGGGTGGGGAGCGTAGATTTTAGGAGTCTTTGTTTTTCACCCATCCCAAGCGTTGACTTGAACAAGAGTCTGACTTCTGATAAGTTTTTGCAGGTTTCCAGTTCAAATGGAGAAGTTAGGGGTATATTTCCAATGGATGGATTTCAGTATTACTCAGCTATGTTTCTAGCTAAATGTGCAGATTAATGACTTACGCAACACACAACCACACACATTATTAATATTGCTTTATCAACCTACTTTTTTTCTCCTGGTAACTGGTTCATGGTCATACAAAAATAAGATAGATGTTTTGAGGATGTTTCAAAATTCTTTGTAGCCTTTATCTCTCTAAATTTACCTTGCAAGGTTCCTCCCAATAATTATCCCCATATTCATTCATTCATTCATTCATTCATTCATTCATCTGTCCATCCATCCATCCATTCATTTTCTATAGCCGCCCATCTAAATCAAGTGACTCTGTGGCTTATATTTCAAAAATATTTCAAAATATTTTTGAAACTATAGAACAATTAAAACAATTAATTAAAACATTAAGACAATAAAAACATCCAGAAAATAAATACAAACAGCAGCTGAGATAATTAATCAATTAACAGTAAAGTCAGAACACAGGGCCATTGACATAGTCCGAGCCCCAGGCTGGGTATATAACAAGATTTTTAGAGCCTTTCAGAGAGTCAGTCTAATCTCTTGGGTGGGGGTATATTCCACAGAGAGGGGGCCACTGCAGAAAAGGCCCTTCTTACAGTCCCTACCAGCTGATTCTCTTTGGCTGATGGGATCTGCAATGTGTCCAATCTGCTCCATCTAATTGGGTGGGTAGAGACTCTTGGAGAAAGACAGTCCCTCCAGATAGCCTGGTCCCAAGCCACGTAGGGCTTTAAGGGTGACAACAACACCTTGAATTGCACCCAGAAACACACTGGCAGCCAGGAGAGATCATGGAGTAAGAGTTTAACCTGTGCCAAGTAGCCAGCACCCTTTATCTTGCATCTTGCCTCAACTGAAGTTTCTGAATGCTCTTCAAGGGCAGCTCCATATAATTGCAGTAATCTAAGTGGGAGGTTACAAGGATATAGTTTAGAAGACGGGGGTTGTCCATCTCTACCGAAACAGGAAAGGGGAGGCAGACTGCAATTCTTCCATTCGTGGATAACAGGGGAAGACTTCTCAAGGCTTTGAAAGGAACCATCTGCTTCATGGCAGGACATATCTCAGGAGCTTCTGAAGACGACTCTTCTCTGAATAGCTTCTTCTCTCCTCTTTTCTCAGTGAAGGCCTGCAGGCTGAGTCCCTCTGTCTCTGTTCTCAGGCCGTTTTGCACCCAGTCTCACTTCTGCATACACAACCTCAGCATCTGGTGGAACTTCCCTTTTGTGGAATCTGATGTCAGCGTAAGTCACATCGCTCACTTGTTTGGTCAAAGAAGTGTGCTGTTAGGAAGATAGGGACAGAAGAAGGGTGATTTTAACTGCGATCTTAGAAGCAGCAGCTCTTCTAAACAGGAACAAAAACCATCGTGAGTTCTGAGATTCCACAAAGAAGCCACCTCTCACAGGCCATTTGTCAGAAACAGACACTGCAAGAATGGTTCATATAATATCCGGAGCCACAACGGTGTTGCTAACTTACCAGCTGCAGTGATTCACTTAACAAATGTGGCAAGGAAGGTCGTAAAATGGGGCAAAACTCACTTAATAAATGTCTCGCTTAGCAACGTAAATTTTGGGCTCAATTGTGGACGCAGGTTGAGGACGACCTGCATTGAAGGTCTATAAATGGTTTACTGCACCACAGTTTGGGCTGTGCCAATTTTGACCACATGACCTCAACGGTCCTAAGGGTGAAAAACGGTCACAAATCCTTTTTGTCCCTGCCGTTGTAACTTCAAACAGTCACTCAATGAATGGATCCAGGTCGAGGACTTCCTGTATGGCTATTAAGACATTTGATTAAAAATGATGCTATTAAAATATTCAATAGATATTGTAAAAACAACAACAACAAACAACCCAAAAAGTATTTAAACACCCAATTGATGACAAGGTAGAGACCCTGGTGCGTTTTCATGATGAAGCAGCCATTGGATTTACCTTCCTAGCTTCTTTGCTTGCAGCAGGCTCGGCCTCCGAGGGGTTTTCTGAAGCTCCTACAGGAGTGAGATAAACAGGAATGCAAAGCATTAGTCCTCAATGACATTCAAGAATTGTCCCAAGTCTGTTATTCTGATTATTCTGTTCTCCTCCTTCTCAGGATGAAAAGTCTGAAAGGACAGCTGTGGAAGAAGGTCCCACCTTTATTCTTCCTCTTTGATCTCCACAACACGGCGCCCAGAAGCAGCAAGAAGATGAGGGTGCCCACGGCTACTCCAACCCCCACAGGGATTCCGATTCCGCCCCCGGTATTTTCTTGGGGTGAGCCTGGTTGTCTGCCGTCACCACTGACCTTGATGTTCTGTGATGGCTTCTCACGTCCTACTCCAACAAGCGACAGGAAATGAGCTGGTATTAATGGACAGCCTCGGAAGAGAACTCAGAATTTATGTTGCCAACCAGCAGAAGTGAATTTTTCCCCCATTGTATGACCTTTCTTCCCACAGTTGTTAAGTGAATCACTGTGGTTGTTAGTCACACGGTTGTTAAGTGAATCTGGCTTCCCCATTGACTTGGCTTGTGAGAAAGTCACTAAAGGGGATCGTGTGACCCCGGGATACGGCAACCGTCATAAATATGAGTCAGTTGCCAAGCCTTTGAGTTTTGATCACGTGACCTTGGGGGTGCCGCAATGGTTGTAAGTGTGAAAACAGTCATAAGTCACTTTTTTCAATACCATTGTAATTTTGAGCAGTCACTAAATGAACTGTGGTAAGTCGAGGACTATCTGTACTCCTTGCTCCAGAGATACTCTTAGAATACTCAACATCCTGGGGGAGAGGGGGGAGGGAGAAAAAATACTATTGCATTATTTGCACAATATCACAACACACGTGATATCACTGTGATCTCTAGTGCCCTATGTGCTCTAGTTTCCATGCCAACGTTCTCTGGGAGAGGCAAATTTGTAACGTAGCCATATCAGATATATCAGAGGTATTTTGGGAGAAACCCATGAAATCAGATTCATGAAACCAATTGGTTTAGGATACCCAAACGTCTCCTGGCTGAAGTTATGGCACAGTCAACAATTTCTAGAAGAATCACTTGGGTTCACCAAACATGCTAAGTCACAAACTGTGGGTTATTCCCATAGAAAGGGGAGAAAATTGTTCTATTTACCAAGGATTGTCACCCTAGTTGCTTTCCCCTGGCCATATCTATCAACTTCACAGATATAGTTTCCAGAATCCTCCTTTTTGATGTTCCTCAAAAACAGAGAAGCTCGGTCTTTCAGAACATCAGTTCCGTGTGTCACTAAGGTCTTCTGTCCATCAAAGGCAATCTTATACCATGAAACATTATGGAGGTGTTTGGTTTCCTTCCCCTGGACTCTACAGTCCATGGTGAGGTTTCCCCCTTCTGTTGTCTGGATGGAAGGTGGTGACTGGATCACCAATAGATTTGCAGCTGCGGAGGGGGGAAAAAAGACAATAATTTCAACAACCTTGATGTTCAACTCAATCAAGGGTCAAAGAAAGTCTAAAGGAGAAGGTTGGGTTGACACAGGCTGCATTCATGGACCACCTCCATCTGCAGATTTGAGTTGGACATGCCGGGACACAAGATGACATACATGAAGTGATCAGTTCAAAGCTACTCACTGAAATCCATGGCCCACCTTGGTCACCTTCCAATACTTAGCTATTATAGCATTTGGGTCTTGCCTGAGAGCTGCGATGAAGCTTCCAAGGACGTGGGACAACATTCCCTATATGACTGTGAAGCTGTGAGTTATAATCCCTACATTTCTGGATTGCTCCAGATTGTTCACAGAAATTCACTCTTCAATCTACTACTACTTCTACCATTTTTTTCCTTCTCTCCTCTCCCTAAGTCTTTAAGAGGCTAATCTCAATTCTACCAGCTCCTCCTGGCGGGCCCATGGTAGGCTAACTGAATCATGAAAACAGAGAAGTGAAATTAGACTGCCAGTCTTTCTGGCAGAGCTCATGGTTTCCTACATAATTTCCTGGTCTTGATCAGAGAGCGTGGCCATTCAGCAAAAACTCTTCCCCATCATGTTCAGTAAATTGCTCTCTCGGTGCTTCCTCCTTCTGGTTTTAAATTTGACATTTCTGCAGGTAGCTATGATGTGACCAGACTGCATGTTTGCTGCTTAAATATGTACAAATATAATTACATTTGTTAGCCATTGTTTTAAAGGTCTTGTTAGCCACTGAAGGTTGTTCTGGCAAGAGGGGGCCATTTATATTGATGGCAACACTGATCTGCTCAACTATCCACAGACAAGTCCATGCCCAGGTTCCAGACAGAGAAGTGCCGAGAAGACGCTTAGTTATCACCTTCTCACCTCAGAGTTCTCATAACACCTTCACACCAGCGGATTGGCTCCTGATGGGCAGGGGGCATTGGGATGGGGTTTGGACAATGGGGAAATTAGCCTAACGATTCGCGCGGGAACTTCAGGTTCCACCTGGCTTTTCTGCAATCACTTTCTCCCAGTAAAAGATCCTTTTGAAATAACGTTCGTTTCAAGAGTTCTGGTTTCCTGAAAACATAGCTAAGGCAGGACCTTACACTGTTAGTCTGAGAAGGTTCCTGTTTATAGGCTTGGGGAATAAATCAGTAATTTTGTACCGTCGGCATGTATGGATCTGGCTGTTTGCACCTAACGTTAAACCACGGACCAGCCTGGTAAGACCACACAGAAAATTCCCGCCACTTACTAGTGACGTGAACCCGCGTTCCGTTTCCTGATCCCGTTCGATTTCTGATCCTGATCGTGCATACATAGTTTCCCGAATCCTCCAGAGTTACATTCACCAGTTTAAGAAGCACTCTCTGCTTAAATTTCTCAGAGTGTTTTGGGTTCCTGAGCTCCTGTTTGTCTTTGTACCATTTCACTTTCACCAAATTGAGATTGTCAACTCTGCTAAAATTGCACGTAATTGTGACATTTCCCCCGGCTTTTCTGCTGACGTTTTGTGGGGTCTGATTCACCACCAGGTTGGGTTTTTCTGCAAAACAAAAAACAAAAAAAAGGTCATAATTTCCCTCTGTATTTTAGCCCTGCTTTGTTTTGGGGCAAAGGAAACAGAATTGTATAAAATATTAGAAGACGAGTCATATGCTTTACAATGCTAACCCCGCACACACACACTTGCACATGCACAAGCAGACGTACACACACACACACACACAAACACACACACACTGCTGCAACAGATAATTGATGACCATTCCAAAGGTGCTTTTTCAGGAGGCAACTGGACTTTCTTGTTTTTTCTTTGAAGATGTTTCACTTCTCATCCAAGAAGCTTCTTCAGCTCTGACTGGATGGTGGGGAACAGGAGGATTTATACTCCTTGCAGACAGCTGGTCATTTGCAACCTTTGAGAGAGTTGTTGAGGCCACTTGGAGGTTTACCTTCTGTCCTCAGGGTCCACACACATTTGCACTACTCAGGTGATCCTGAGCACACAGACAAACCTCCAAGTGGCCTCAACGACTCTCTCAAAGGATGCAAATGACCAGCTGTCTGCAAGGAGTATAAATCCTCCTGTTCCCCACCATCCAGTCGGAGCTGAAGAAGCTTCTTGGATGAGAAGCGAAACGTCTTCAAAGGAAAAACAAGAAAATCCAGTTGCCTCCTGAAAAAGCACCTTTGGGACAATCAGGACCTGGAGGACTGAGAGCCTCCACAGAGTCTGTGAATGATGAACAATAAAGGGGACCACAGGTAGTCCTTGACTTACAATCACAACTGAGCCCCAGATTTATGTCGCTAAGTGAGACATTTGTCAAGTCATGTGAAAAGTGTGAAAAACGGTCATAAGTCACATTTTTCAGGGCTGTTGTAACCTTGAATGCTCACTTGGAATAGTTGACTGCCTGTACTCAACAATCACTCCTTGTGTCTTTCCTGGTTCCTAGGAAGCCTGACATCAATCAGGTGAAGCATCTATTTGCATGGCTACAGATATACAGGGACTCCTTGACTTAACAACAGTTTGTTTTAGGGACTGCTCAAAGTTACAACGGCGCTGAAAAAAAGTGACTTATCACCGTTTTTCACACTTACAACCGTTGCAGCGTCCCCGTGGTCACGTGATGAAGATTCAGACACTTAGTGACTCACATTTACGATGGTCGCAGTGTCCCGGGGTCAGGTGATCACCTTTTGCAACCTTCTGACAAGCAAAGTCAATGGGGGAAGCCAGTTTCATTTACTAACCAGGTCACTAAATTAATAGCTGCAGTGATTCACTTAACACCATTGGCAAGAAAGGTCATTAAATGGGACTAAATTCTTTAACAAACGTCTCACGTATTGCTTCTGAGTCCACACAAGGCGCAAATCAGTCATACCACTTTTGCAGGACTAATTAGACACCCCCAAAGCCACCCATATTGCTACATTTTCATAGAATGGACAACTGCAAAAGAATTCAAGGTTCCCTAGCATGAATGAATGAATGAAAGAATGAAAGAATAAATGAATGAATAGGCATATTTACCCCAGATTGTCACACTTGTGTTCCCCAATTGCGAATGTACTAAATCGCCAGTTTTACAGTGATAGATTCCAGAATCAGCAATAACAGTTGATTTAAGAATTAAGGTGCTGGATTTGTTAACGTTATTCGTAATTACAGAAGTCCAGGTTGAATTTTTAATCTTGTCTTTTCTCCCCATCTTCATCCAGTTTATAAACCACTTTGAAGAAACATTGCCTTCCATGTTGCAATTCAACGTCACGTCTGATCCTTCTGACACATTCAAAAAAAGAGGCGTCTGAATCATGGAAAAGGAGAGAGAGCTTGTCGACGGATGAGTCCCTGCGGAAACTGGATAGCAAACAGAATTTAGAAAAGAATAGAGCTGGAAGGTACCTTGGAGGTCTTCTAGTCCAGCCCCCTGCTCAAGCAGAAGAACCTATACCGTCTCAGACAGGTGATTGTCTAGTCTTTTCTTAAAGATCTCCAGTGACGGGGCACCCACGATTTCTGGGGGTAAGCTGTTCCACTGCTTAATTGTCCCCACTGTCAGGAAGTTTCTCCTTAATTCCAGGTTGCTTCTCTCCTTGATCAGTTTCCAACCACTGTTTCTCGTCCTTCCCTCTGGTACTTTGGTGAACAACCTGGCCCCCTTTGCCCTGTGGCAGCCCCTCAGATACTGGAACACTGCTATCATGTCTCCCCTAGCTTTAAAATGAAAGCATTGCAATCAATGACAGGGAAGCTACTACATCTGAATTTCCACCCATTTTCACCGATGTAACGGTATGTGGGAATGATCTTAGAAGATAGAAGAGAGAGAGATCCTCAGACTGGACAACCAAATATAAAACATGTAAAATATGTCCTTGGTGCTCTCTGAGTTTGGTTGTTTTCTTGCAGACATTTCATTAGCATCATCAGTGCAAGAAGGGAGTGGGGTTCGCAGAGAGGAGGAGGAGGAGGAGGAGGAGGAGGAGGAGGAAACAATGGATAAAAACATCCTTGGATATGTTGGAAATACAGTTGTAAAGAAGGATTTTTTTAGTAGACTTGTGATAAAGCAAAGAAATAGAGAAGTCAATTTCCTATTTTAATCCAGAATATCAAACTGAAACCAGAGACATTCCAGTTTTATTTCTATCTGGAGACTGCTTCTAGACCAGGGGTGTCAAACTCACCACATCATGTGGTGTGTCACGACGTATCACAACTTTTTTCCCCTTGCCAGAGCTGGGGTGAGTGTGGCTTCTGCATGACGCAGTTTGACACCCCTGTTCTAGAGCTTGTGCTCAAGACAGAAAAAAAAATATGAAAGTTTGACTTTGGGATTTGCTGATTAGACATTATTATAGAAATTGCCTGTATGTAAAAGTAAAATTTGAGGGTGTATTTTACTATTTTTAGTCCACTGCTCTGAAAAAAGCTGGAGGTTAACACTTTTTTCTTCCTTTTCTTCTATCCCACACTAGCTCACAACAGATAACAGCAATAAAAAAAAGTTAAAAACCAATATGCAAACGTATAAAAACTTCTATAATTAATATAAAAATATAAATAACGATCAGCAGCAGAATTCACTCTGCATCAGCTCAATACATCTGTTTTCTGGTCTTGCCAACCCACCCTGGAAAAGTCCCCACAGTTTCAACCTCTGTCTTAGGATCTTGGTTATTTCATTTCATTTCATTTCATTATTTTTTTTTGCTTCATTTTGCTCTTTCAAAACTTCCCTTTCCTTTGTGGGTGGTGCTGCTTCCCCATATCATTCGGGACTTTTCAACTCTGCTCTGGTTTCCCATCTCAAGTAAAAGCTCTGCAGCTATGGCGCTCGTGTGCTTTATGAGGATGTTGCACAAATGATGAACGTGACACAATAGCTGAGATTTCCAAGATGATGTCCAGATGCCTGTGACATCCTGGAAGACTCTACTGGATGCCCATAGCAATTTGCTCCTCCAGTCTGAAGTCTCCCCCACCCATCCCTACTATTCCTGCTACTTCCTTCCCTTTACCACTTTCTACAGAGGGACGATCGAGAGCATCCTGTCATATTGCATTACTGTCTGGTTTGGAAGCATCCCTGCTTCAGACAGGAAGGTGGTGCAGAGAGTGGCGAGGATGGCCGAAAAGACCATTGGCAGTTCCCTCCCTTCCATCCAGGATGCAGCATATAAGTGATGCTTGAGCAAGGTCCACAGGATTGTCTGGGATGCTACAACCTGTTTTTTCTTGTTACCTTCTGGGAGGGGTATCCGAAGCAGATTATCCAGATTCAGTCACAGTTTTATTCCATACAGTATTGACCTTGTGAACTATTCTATTCTATTCTATTTATATGTTGGGGTGCAGGTATATACATATATTGTATATATCCTGTCTATGTGTGTGTTATGTATGTGTACGCTTTTGAGAGCAGGCAACAGAATTTCATGTTTAATGAACCTGACTCCCTGTCCTATTTTTGCCAATTGGCCAAACCCAACCAGAACTCCTTCAAGTAGGCATCAGGTCTTCTATTTTCTGTCCAGAGATCAGGGATCTCCAACTTTGGGAACTTTAAGACTTCTGGACTTCAGCTCCCAGAATTCCTTGAGCAGGGGTCTCCAACCTGGGCACTTTGAGCAGGGATCTCCAACCTTGGGAACTAAGACGTCTGGACTAAGCTTGGAGAGCCCTGCTCAAAATGCCCAAGGTTGGAGAACTCTGCTCAAGGAATTCTGGAAGTTGAAGTCCAGAAGTCTTAAAGTACCCAAGACCCCTGCTCAAGATTATGGCCTGCCATGCTTTTAAAGTTATGCCTCGTGTCCTGTTCCTGTCCTTCAATGAAGAGAGTATTCACCAAGTCACAGCCCAGAAATGTGATTTGCCATCTTCCTCTCCTGTAATAGCTACTAGAGCCACGTTGGATCTTTAGCGGCGTCTTCCTGAAGCCCAAGAAAACTTACCTATGGGGAGCAAAGGCAAGAAGAGAAGAATTCTGACCAGCTGGAGGCTCATGTTGTCTCATGCGGTGGAGATTTTCTGCCTGCTGTGGGCTTCAGCTCCAGCATTGGGTCCAGTTGTGGGGAGAACTTGGCCAATGAGGATTTATTCTCAAACGTCTCCTTGGATCCGAAGAGGCTGCTCTCACCATTCAGCAAACTCTGTATGACCAAGCCCTCGCTTTCACCCTCGGTCTTGCCCCTCCCCTTCTCTGCTTCTAGTTCCTTTTTTCTTCTTCTTTTCACTTTATCTTTTCCTGTTTGCTGTTCCCTTTTCTGAATATTCTCTATTTCCTTTTTCACAAATATTGCTGCGCCTTCCATTTGGGCACCCAGTTTAGAAGGCTGGAACAAAAGGTTATAGATAGAAACAATATAAATATATCTTGGAGACTGTTCTGCAGAAACTGGGTTAGAGTAGCTGCATCTGAACAAGATCAGAACATCCAAGGTGGTAAGAATCTCCTTCTTCTCCAGAAAAGGGATGTTAACTCTCCTGCAAAACATGGGCTTAAGAGATCCTAACCACAGATAATCTTGCCCCAAGGAAGAAGGAGGGAGGGGTCAATTTATTATCCAAGGCACCTGAAGGCAGGACGAGAAGCAACGGATGGAAACTAATCAAGGAGAGAATCAACCTAGAACTAAGAAGAAATTCCTGACAGTGAGAACGATTAATCAATGGAACAGCTTGCCTTCAGAAGTTGTGGGTGCTCCATCATTGGATGTTTTCAAGAAGAGACTGGACAACCGTTTGTCTGGGATGGTGTGTACGGTCTCCTGCTTGTGCAGGGGGTTGGACTAGAAGACCTCCAAAGTCCCTTGCCTTATTTTGTATGTTCTGTATTATTTTCTATCAAAGAAAAAAAAATGTGCCAAATATGTGCTCTTCCCCTGCCCACAGTGTTTTCTTATTATCTAGATAAACGACGGAAGAAGCATTATTTTTGATTGTGTTTCAGCACAAAAGGATTTTTGCATTGCATGAAATCAAACCCTAGCTTTTTTTCTAAAATTTGGATTTTCCTGCACTTTCCATCTTATTTAACGGTGGAAAGTAAATATATCACGGGAAAGTCTGTCTATAACTGCACGGAGTCATGGAAAAAATGATCATCAAATAAATTCACGAAATAAAAGAAAAACGTCTTTTTGGAGGCACCTGATTGCAAAAATGCCGTATTGTGCTGCATTGCAACCCACAATGAATCTGGTTGGAGAAGTACACATTGAAATATAGATAGACTTTACAACCAGCTTTTAATTAAATATATTCTCAAGTTCAGTAAAGTGACTTTGTCAGATTGACAAAAACAGAAAAGCAGATGAAAGAAAAGTAAAGGGATGAAAACCTTTTGATTAAATATCCATTTGTTAACCTACTTCCAGTTTTCATTGTTTCCGTCTGTAAATATTTCTCTAAAGGTTTCCTGCCTCCACATGAGCTAATGCGTTATTTTAGTCTGTTCCACTTTGTACTTCCTGAACTAATTTGCAGATCAGGGTACATTTACTGTAATTTGATTTTACCACTCCAGAGCTGTTCTCTAAAAAAAAAAGAAAATGCAAAAAAGCCAACAATAACCAACCCCATCAATCCAGCCAATTTTGGTCACCATATCACAAAAAAAGATGTTGAGAGTTTGGAAAAAAAAACTCAGAGAAGAGCAACTAAGAGGATCAAAGGCCTGGAGACTAAAACATACGAAGAACGGCTGCAGGACTTGGGTTTGGCTAGTCTAATGAAAAGAAGAAACAGGGGTGACATGATAACAGTATTCCAGTATTTGAGAGGCTGCCACAAAGAAGAGGGGGTCAAACTATTCTTCAAAGCACCTGAAGACAGGACAAGAAACAATGGTTGGAAACGAATCAAAGAGAGAAGC